CCCCTAGACAAAACAAGCAGTTAACTGTTTCAGTGAGAGGGTAGCCCCACTGCAAGGGTAAGGTTTTAAAACCCCCATAGTTCTTCTTTAACATATTGAAATAAAGGGGCAAATAGTTTAATAGCAATGGCAGACTCCCTTTTCACCCATGATAGGTTTACTTGGAATACCCCAATACAATACACTGAATACTCCAATCTAAAACCATACAAGGCTGGCTTTGTAGCAGGAAACAGGTTTTACTGGTCCCACAGCAGCACCCAGTGGATGAGAGTGGTATTACAGATCAAAGGGCAAATACTACAGAAGATTTAAGTGTAGGCTTAATGGGAAAGCTTCCTAGAAGCTGGCAAAAGGTTAATACACCAAGGGAATTCAAAACAGCTTTGGCCAGACATGAAGCTTTCTTGAAAATAACAAAAGGGCCAATGACCAGAAGTGCCTACAATCTGGCAGCACTCAGAATTCCCTTCCTGTATAATATTTACAAATGTGACAAAAATACTTTAAAGTGACACTAGACTCATGAATTAAATCTACAAAATATACATTCAAGTACCTTAACTAATAAAAATGTATCTTATTTGTGTACCACTCGGCTGTAGAACCTCAAATCATCTCTGAATTGGTGCTGACTCTGTCCTTCCTTCTGGAAGGTGGTTACTTTTGTACCCCATGGTCCCTGTGTGTGTTGTAAAGTAGCCACTGCTCCAAGCTCACAGGCAACACTCTTTCCTGAGGCACCAGAACACATGGTAGTGCATTAACATGGTATGTCGTAAGGTGCATTGTTGCCATATGTTGTTGTAAAGCATGCATTTACCACAACTGATGGGTATAAGTGGGCTCTGACTGCTCAGCTCTGCTATATCTCTCATTCATAAATTACTATTATTCTTCCTTTGTAAGCCCTTCAGCATTTTTTGTTTTGTTTTTTTTAAGTGTTTGCATGTGAACAGGTGGTTACTTTTGTACCCCATGGTCCCTGTGTGTGTTGTAAAGTAGCAACTGCTCCAAGCTCACAGGCAACACTCTTTCCTGACGCACCAGAACACATGGTAGTGCATTAACATGGTATGTCGTAAGGTGCATTGTTGCCATATGTTGTTGTAAAGCATGCATTTACCACAACTGATGGGTATAAGTGGGCTCTGACTGCTCAGCTCTGCTATATCTCTCATTCATAAATTACTATTATTCTTCCTTTGTAAGCCCTTCAGCATTTTTTGTTTTGTTTTTTTTAAGTGTTTGCATGTGAACTTTTTAAATTTGAGTTCATTTGTTTTAGTAGTGCTGAATTTAAAGAACTATGAGGCAAGTGATTTCCACTCCTCCTCATAGTTAGAGCCGACCTGCGACAAAGAAGCTGTCACAGGTCGGCTCTATTGATCAGGAAGTGAGCAGAAACATGCAGCTGATCCGCTCACTTCCCGTACATCTCCATGAAGAGAGCGGTGACCCACGATATACTGAGCTTTGGATCACGGGAGGACGCTACTATATATCCTCCCGTGACCCTAAAGAGAACTTTGGGGAAAAACACTTACCCCGTAGTTCTCTTTTAACAATAAATACTTTGTGCCAGAAACAGAATACTAGTGTCTTTAAAAAAGGGAAACATTGCATAGTGAAATTTGTAGTTAACCCCAATTCATTTTCATTAATGCCTCCCATTTTTTTGTGTGTGTCAGAAATTGCATTTGTTCATTTTGTGAGGGGTATAGCAGAGGTCTTGATTTAGATGTGCCCCTCCACTTGACTGGATACAAATGTGGCCCTTTAAAGGAGAACTATGGGCAGAGCGATATGCAGCAATTTCTATAGTTAGAGCCGACGACCGACACTGAAGCTGTAACACGTCAGCTCTATAAATGGAGAACGGAGTGATCACAAACCGCTGATCACTCAGTTCACAATCTTCTCCCTGCAGAAAGCGGTGACTGTCAGTCACTGCTCCCCTCAGCTCATTCCCCCCCCCCGGACAGACATGGGAGGGGGCGCGACACAGCTGGCTCTGTCTCGAGACAGACAGGGTCTGCTGTCAATCAGGCAGCAGGTTAGTCCCGACACTATTAAATAAAAAGCTGAAATCATATTTTATGAACTGTAGAAAAAAAAAGTTGTGGTTCCAATTTCTGTCTAGGCATTTAATTTCTGCAAATGGCTTCTGGCTAAAATTCCCTAGAACTGCTGATGTGCTCATCTTGTAAATAACTCTCAATATAAGCCTGCAAAGATGCAGACCGTGTGTACACTGGTTCAAGCTAGGGCTGCAGCTAACGATTACTTTCATAATCAATTAGTTAGCCGATTGTTAACTTTGATTACTCTGTGCTGCACTTCAGGTACCCCCCAACATGACCCAGAAATGTCTTGAAGAAGTCACCTGCACTCCAAGGTCCAATGTGTTGAACACCTGGTTTTATTCAGACGATATACAGACATGGTGGCACAGTGTAAAAGCAACGTTTCGGGACCGAACATGGTCCCTTCATCGGGCAAACACAGTAAGTGCACTTCTTTTAGTCATATCTGTGATAACGCAGCGCCACCCGCAGGTCATACCCACCTATCTATCTTATGGAATTCTGGACAGGAGTGCTGTGGATTACACATTACTGATGTCCCTACATGACCCAACACCTGTTCAGTAGTCCTAAGAAGTGTTCATTTTGACAGCAGATTTAGTCTTTTGACTAAAATGCCATTAAGTTTTAGTCATATTTTAGTTATCTGAATTGTTTTCATTTTAGTCTAGTCTTAGGTGATTAAATGTCATAAGATTTTAGTTGACTAAATCTACAGTAGATTTGTTCTACTAAAATCTAGTGGTTTTAGTTAAAGAGTAATTTAAGCATTTCGAATCTCATTATATACTCCTGAAGTAAACATCTGCTAACTTGTTATGATATTAAAGGAGAACTATGGGTAAGTGTTTTTCCCCATTGTTCTCTTAAGGGTCACCGGAGGACACAAACTAGCGTCCTCCCATGACCCAAATCTCAGTATTGAGACCGCCGCAGCCGGGACGGATCCCGACATTACTGTCGAGATCCACCCAGCTGCGTGGTCGACAGCTGGCTCTGCCTCATTAGAGGCAGAGCCAGCTGTACCCGCCCCCTCCCCATCCGTTCCACCAGTCAGCGCTGGAGGATCGGGGAGGGGGGGATCTCTGCAGGGAGCCGTGACAGTCACGGCTCTCTGCAGGGACATGATCGAGAAGTGAGCGAGCGACGGTATGGGTTCGCTCACTTCCCGATCTATTATCACACGTTGGTTCGAACTATGAGGTTGAGTGAAGATCACTCACCTCATAGTTCTCCTTTAAGGTTTGAACATGCAATACAGACACAGATTTAACTGTTGTGATATATAAAATGCCTTTATTTATCTTAAAGTTAGATAAAACCAAGTCCTATAAAGAAACAAGAATATTGAGTATTTTCAACAAAGGACCAGTACTGAGCTATGCATTGATTATAACAACTTGCATATGACATTCTTCATTCTTTCAAGCAAAAGTGAAACTTTAAAATAATAAAATGAAAAACTATATTGGCTGTAATGCCATTACGCATATTACCTATTAGCCGTCCATTCAGGATGGAACTGGAAGTCCAAAGAGATTCGTTCTGATTGGATCTCTCCCTAACATTTTAGTCTAGTTTTACTTATTCGACTAAATGTCAATTTATTTTGGTTATAGTTTTAGTCATCATAACTTCGTTTTTATTCAGTTTTAGTCACTGAAAAAGTGTTGTTGACGAAAACTGTAACGAAAATGATTAGTCAATGATAGGGATGCACCGATACCGATACGTACTCGTGCAAATACTCCGATACAAAAAACGAGTACCTGTGCCGCGTCCGCCATCTTCAGGGACCCGAAACCGCCGCACACAGGACCTCCATCGCGTCTTCAATGAAACAAGATGGCCGCGAACTCCTCCTCCAAGTCCTCAGTCATCTGCTCCATTCTGACCTCTTCTCCCGCTGATTGGCCGATTGGATGATTGACAGGCTTCCTCACCAGTCAGGACTGACTGGTGAGGAAGCCTGTCATCATCCAATCGGCCAATCAGCGGGAGAAGAGGTCAGAATGGAGCAGATGACTAGGCTGTGACACAGAGTGGCTGAAGCAGACGGAGAAGACACGACACAGCAGGTTAGTACTTCAGCACTATATATACCAAAAATATAAACCAGCTAACAAGAGTGGCTAGTTTAAAAAGGGTTAACAGAGGATCGGGACAAGTATTCCAATTACAAAAAGAGTTTATTAGAGAGCACATTATACAAACAGATCTGCATACCTGAAGATTTATAATTGTAGGTCATGCTTTTTTTGTTTTTTTTTAAACCAGTTAGTGATGTGATATTTATGTCCAAAACTGATATTTTATCTAATAAACTCTTTTTGGAATTGGAATACTTGTCCCGATCCTCTGTTAACCCTTTATAAACCAGCCACTCGTTAGCTGGTTTATCTTTTTGGTATATAGGGTTCATTTTGGTTACGGATCTGGTTGACAAAAATGAGATAAAGGGCCATTTAAATGGTTCGGATCTCCAGGCAGAAACAAAATCGTTTTCTATTAGTACTGCAGCACTGGGCACATGGAAAAAAATAATATATGCCTGTAATGTTGTTTAACTTTATATAATATTTTAAAAAAAAGACAATAATGAAATTAATAAGTAGATCTTGCCATTGCTAACTAAGGCTTGTATCCCCCAAGTGGGGAAAATAGACGAGCACATGACAATGACATTAACACTGCTCACAAGCAATGCTTATAGCAAACAAAGCCATATATAGGAACTACATCAGAGAAATGAAGTCTACAAGAAATCTATGACATCCTTATCAGATGACTGTGTAGAAGACTAGAAGGGCATGGAAGGGGATTTCTTCAACAACAACTGAGGTGACCAATATTATGTCACAACTTACTTAACCATAAATACAGATTACAGAGGAAGTTCTTTGACATCTTTACCTTTGGGCTCCAGTCTGGATCAAGCTTTTTTATCGTCTCTATATAATCACGCATTGCCTGCTGCGGACTGCAATCGCCCAATGACTTCCACGCCTCCCTGCAAGGAAAAAGACAGAAAACCGTATAGAACAACTTGTATGTAAATTGCAAAAGCATCAATTACACAACAATTCCCACTTAGGGCAGCCACTTTGCATCACCCCAGACTTATGGCAGAAACAGTTCACAGGGTTCCCTATTTTTCCCCAGGAACTTTCAAAGGAAACCTATACTGAGAGAAAAGGTGAGGGCTGCCAATACTGAACTCTTCTTGTGCCATTTGCCTGGCTGTTCTGGTGATCTAAAGACGATAATTTCACATTGCCCTGCAAGACGTATGCAGATCTGGAATTCAAACTTGCCTATGTGTATATGACTGCCAGAAGCAAGACCTAACAGTTATTACAGAAAAACAACCTTTTCTGAAACCGTATGAGCTTTTTTTTTTTTTTAACCAATTTTGAGGTCTACACTGAAGATTATCTATAATTAATTCACTTCCACTGCAGAAGTCAGGTAAATAGAAAACCAACAAAGGGCTAAACCGCGGGGGCAAGTTAAGCGGACGTGTCTTAAAGCAGCAGAAACCCGTCAACATAAAATGAAATTTTGGGCCCCCGGGAGGCATTTGCTATGAGTTAGTATGCATAGCATATTAAACACATTATGGCAGTCTTCCCTTGCAGACAATCTCTTCCAGCACTGATTCATCAGCGCTTTCCTACATCGTCAGCGCTTCCACCAGTATTCTTTTTCATTGCTCGGCATCTTCAGCCTTCTGGTCGGGCTGGAATAATGTAACTCATCACATGCACGCGTTAGTTACGTCACCTAGACACAGAACCATGCTGAGGAGGGTAAACAATTATTACTTAACTACAACTTTAATGTGTTGACATGCTTTGTGCGTTTTTATGTATTTTTAAACTGATTGTTAGCAAAATCTGTTAGCAGTTTTAGATACACTTTTTTTTATAACTCTTTAATACACGACAAAGGATTTTCAGAGCACCACCAGTTATCTGAAAAGCTAGTACACAGTAGCTGCCTGCCTCCCTCTGATAAGGGATGAGTCATCAAAATGAGTCTTTAAAGTCCATTTCCACCTTTGTAAGTGATTAGCAATTATTGTGGTAATGTAGAGGTGCAGTGATGCACATTTTCGTGACTCACATTGTTGGCTTTTCAAATTTTCTCCACTGACTTTTTAGTAAGCCTAAGTCCCACAAACTAAAAATTTTCTCAACAGGAAACTGTCTGACACTGGGGTCAGATTGTAAAGCAGCTGACCCCCTCCCTGAGGCACTGTAACAGATCACTGCACATCTGCTCTGCCTTTCCTGGTCACAATACATTGTCAAAGGGTCGGGGGCACTATGAATACCAATGAATAGGTGGAGAGAGCTCAGAGAGTGTCAATTTACACAGACTGCTTGCAAAGCACAGAGGTGGCCATTTCAAAAAGGAGCCATGAGGAGCACTCTACTGCTGTCCTAAAATCATTAGTCTGTATTGTTTTAGAAAAACTGTCAAATGACTCTAAAAACACTTTTTTGGGGGGGGTAATTGCTATTGGCAAGTACTTGAGGAAAAGTATCAGTACTCATACTCGGTCTAGAACAAATGGTATTGGTGCATCCTTATCTTTTGCACTGACAAAACTGGTTTAGAGCCATGACAGGTGCCCCATGAGGCAGCACCTAGGCCCCAAGTACTTCACTATAGGAAGCAAGGGTACATCTCACATGTTGCTTCACACTTAATATATAAACTCCCTGTGGTACCTGCCATCAACTAAATATGTTACTTTGCCTAGTCCTCTATAGATCTCATTGGCACTAGATTAATATTGCATGTGTATCTTAGCCCATACTAGAATACAGAAGTAAGCCAGTCCAATCCAAAGGACAGGAAGGAAGGTAATATGTGCTTTTACTGAAAATAGAAAAGTAGAAGTAAGCTCAAACACATTTTCTTAGGCACATTGGCTACACAGCTCCTGGGATTTGTCCATCCCATATATGACTGCTATTTCCATTACAGCAGAAAAATTAACAATACCGGCTAACTGGAGCATATGATATAAAAAGTTCTATTAAATTAATTTTTTGTTGCCTGAAAATAATTAAAGGAAACTATAATGTAAGGTGAATGAGTAATTACCCTTTCAAATGGGCCTGTCACAATAAATTAATTTAGATTATAAAATAGAATAGATTATGAAAATTGTATTCCTTTAATATTTAAATCTCAAAAGGCAGTGTTCAGCAGCCGGCGTGTGGCAATACCCTTCTGTGAGAAATCAGGGGCCTTGCTGCAACTCAATCTATTGACTGCATAATGTGTTGGTGAATCTGTCACTCTCAAAACCGGTATTTTGGAAAACCCAGGTAAGTAAAATACACTCCAAAGAATACACACAATAGGTGAACTATTTATAAAAACAATTTGCATAGCAATTTGTCCCAAGCAACTGCACGTACATTCTGTGCAAATTGACCAGCTGTAGGGAGAAAGGGGCAACATCAAATAATATTTTTTCTGGTTGAATATTCTTCAAATATTATGGGCAGTAGTAGTAAAATGTAGTTAATCGGGAAAATATTGTACTATGGCCACTAGGTGGAGTTGAGGATCGCATGGCATACAGTTTAGGAACAAGAGATACAGTAAATTCACCAATTATTGGGCATTCAAGAAACCGGCACTCTCAAGCAAGCGGGAAAAAAACAAAAACCCAGGCCATATGTTTTGGGGGTTTTTTTTGCCGGTGGCTTGATGCACACTAAGACATTGTTGGGTGCTTGTTGCACACTAAAAAATGTATTTACATTTTTTTAGTTGCTAAGGAAATTCTTTGTTTACATTCTCCGGTCGGCAGCAAAATGTAAACAATGGGGAGCAATAACCGGCCTGCTATTGGCCATTTCAAACTGCAATAGCCAATAGCAGTCTGGCTATTGTACATGTCCACTAAGAGGAGCGAAACTGAGAAAGTTCTCTTCAGGTCTGCTCCTCTGCTCAGTGGGTGGGTACAATAGCCAGCCTGCTTTTGGCTATTGCAATTTGAGCTTGGAGCGGTGGCTACTTTACAACACACACAGGGACCATGGGGAACTAAAGTAGCCACCCTCCAGAAGGAAGGACAGTGTCAGCACCAGTTCAGAGATTATTTGAGGATCTACAGCCGAGTGATACACAAATAAGATACATTTTTGTTACTAGTTAAGGTCCTTGGATTCATTTTTAAGATTTAACTGAGTTTAGTGTCATTTTAATAAATAGGTAAAGTCGATGTGACAATAATTTCCCACAAAACATTAGCCAAGTAGTAATGACCATTGTTCATAAATAGGCCCTTTACTATTACTAGTAGCTCTGTATATCTTGAAGAAAATAATCTTCTCCTAAAGCTTCTTGTTTAACCCTTTCGCTGCCAAGCCCTCCGGAACATTTTTCAAATCAGCTGGCCAAGCCATTTTTGAATTTTCTGCAATTTTTTCCCATTGATTTGATTTTCCTCTGCTGCGTTGTTAGCGATAAGATTAGTAGATTGTGAAATGAGTTTGTTCAAAGGTGAATGAACAGCCTGAATTATTAACCCACTAAAATAACTGGTAATCTTTTAGTTAACCTCTGTTATTTAAGCCTACTGATGGCCTATTTTGCAATTCAACTTTACATAACACAGTATTTGAAAGTATGGAAGCGGGATCAGTAGAACAGGCGGCAGCTTGTATTTTCAGAGGGCAGCACTGTCAGGCCCCATGTTTCTTGTTTCTTTCATGTCAGGGTTTTCTTTAAAGGGTAACTCCATTTTAAAAATATAAAAACTATTTAATCTTTAAAAAATGTATATAGCATTTTAGAGGTGCACCAAAATGGAAATTTCAAAACCGAAACCAAACCAAAATTTTTTAAAAGAGTGAGTTCATTCATAACTTGGAGATAGTATTTTTACTATAACCACAATCATGAATGAACAGGAGGTGGTGTAGATCACTTCCCATTCATTCATAATTGAGGCTATAGTAACCATACAATGTCCACAATTATGTACAAACACTCAGCGATCACTGATGGCTGAGTGTTTGCATTGGCTCTCCTTCCTGACAGCTGTCACAGGTGGCTGAGCGAGTGGTGCATGTAGGAGAGTTGAGCCTCCTGTGACAGCGCGGGCTGTCTCCGCCCACACACCGCTCTGCCGGACTGTGACAGGAGGCTGAGCGGTGTGGGAGGAGAGACGCCGGCCGCTCACAGTGCTCTCCTCCAGCAGCGCTCAGCCGGCTGTCACAGTTTCTCTCCTTCCCACTGGGACACAGAGCAGCGCCCAGCGGGGAGGAGAGAAAGAATGGATGCACCGGTGTATCAGCAGAAAAATTGCACTTTCGGCATTTAGCCAAAAGTGCCATTTTCGGCCGATATGTTTCGGCGCCCGATATATCGGTGCATCCCTATAGCATTTACAATCGTTGCACAAGCTATTTTGTAATTTAATGTTATTAAAAATGACCCTTCAATTTAAAACTGTAGCTGCTGTAATGTTCTAAATCTGTTAAAAAGTGTAATGCAATATGGTGACCTGGAGGCGTTCTGTTGGTGTATGCAAAGCCCCCAGAATAGTCACATCCTGCTTGTGTGATTGGCTGACTAATTTCCCCAGAAGTCTGCTCTAAGATACACGTATAATTTTTGGCATCCCTTCCAATAGGATTTTAATTTTGATGAGATACTCCTTAAAGTGACAAATGTTTTCCTCCCCCCGGCATGCCGCTTTAAGGACTTACCTTAAGTGATGCCTCTTGATCCAACCATCTTCTTCCTTCCACTTGTATTCAGCAGTCCCTCAAGCGCTGGTGCCAGTCTCTGATCTAGCGCAGACTCCTTGTGTTCCACAGTGTCTGTCCGACATGCACACTCCCGGCTGCGTGCATTCACCTCCACTGTGTCTCTCCTCCTCTCCCCACCAAAGATCTCTACTGCGCATGCTCCCGCTCTCATCATCCTGCTTGGCCACGTGAGAAGCTTCAGATCTTCAGACCAGGGTGAGTGGCAGTGACAGACATAGGTAATCACCTTTTTGGTAACTTTTTAATTTAAAAAAAAATGTTTTTGCATATATCTACTGCTTGCGAGAATTTAATTGTACGTTAAGGGTTAATTACTACTGAACGAATACAGACACTGCACCTTTCCTCATTACAACACAGGAAGTCTTCCAGCTGATTATAATGAGCCCAGATCTTCTCATTCAGGAATTAGTTTGGAAGGGACATGCTGCAACAAGCAGCTTTTATTTCACAACACAAATAGGTTGAGCACTGCAACAAAGTATGTTAAAACCCTTGCAATGTACATAGATCACCCGGAGGGGGATGATATTTTTTTTCTCAACAAAAGTGGAATTAAGGTTAAGTTCATACCCAAACACGTATATGTTAAAAGGTATGTTGTACCATTATGTGTTTAACACACGTCACCCTTTTGAAAGTTTAATTTCAATTGAAGATGCAGCATTCAGGTTTTTTTCCTCCCCAAGAACCACAGCTAAATAGTGTGGGGACAGTACCTACTAAAGTAATGCATTTTTTTTTTGCTCATGCACTATTCTGTGTCGGCAAATCAGCAAAATGCAAACCAGCATATTCCGTGCAAAACAAAGCAAGCCTGAATTCCTTTAAGTAATATAACTAAATGTAATCTATAAAAAGGTGGTAAGTTAGCCATCAATTTGACCTCTGCCTTTTGTAATAAAGAGTTGAGGCTGCCGGGCCAATGAGAGGCCTACGTGGGACAGCTGTGACATGAAGGTCAAAAGAAAGGAATTCGAGAGAGATGCAGGGGACCCAGGAGATCGACACTCCTGGAAGGGACAGTCTCTTAGTGGAGACCAGGGGACCATTTTGCATGAATGAAGCACAGTTCAGCGACACAGCAGGAGGTAAAGGATGGATTAAGATGGCAAAATGGATTCTGCAACAACCAAAGGTAAGTTTTTTTTCTCTCTTCTTTATAGATACCTGCTTATTTAATATACATTACTTATAGGACAGATATTGTGTAAAAGTCCACCTATGCTCTGTTTGAATGCCTTTGTTGCTTTACAGCAGATATCACAAGATGCCTACTGTCTTTCCATGCCTAATAGGAGATACCACAAGATCCTAGCTTCTCCTGTGCACCACTTAGGTTTGATCTTACTTTGTAACTGGTACCGGTCTTCCTCTTGGAAAAAGGGGCAGTCACTTTTTTTGGTGCTACATCAGGAGTAGCCAAACTCCAGCCCTCCAGCTGTGGTGAAACTAAAAATCCCATGATGCATCTCTCTCCAGGATTGATCTTACTTTGTTACTGGTACTGGTCTTCCTCTTGGAAAAAGGTGGTCGCTTTTTTGGTGCTACATAGTGTTTGGTGGGGACTAACAAGGGATACCACAAGATCCTAGCGTCTCCTGTGCACCACTTAGGTGGGTATATCTAAAAGGTGCCCATATACTGCTCGATTCTCGTACGAGAATCGCGGGAACGTCTTTTGTCTAAGGAGCATGTTGGAAAACCAGCCGAGAATCGTATGATTTTCGGCTGGTTAGAACGGTGCTCGGGAGACAAATGCTGAACGGGCCGGTGTGCGCATGCTGCCCGTTCAGCATTGCGGTCATCTGCGATGATCGAGAGTGCGATCTGCCTGTCCAAGATGGGCAGATCGTACGTTTTTTAAATCACTTTACAACCATCGCAAGACTAAGGTCTTGCGATGGTTGTACAGTGTATGGCCACCTTTAGGCGGGGAGAAGAGGAGAGACACATAAGGGGTAAATGCACGCAGCTTGGAGTGTGCACGTCAGACAGACACTGTGGGACACGAGGAGTCTGCACTGGATCAGAGAACGGCACCAGCGCTGGAGGCATTGCTGAATATAAGTGGAAGGAACAAAGTAAGATCAAACCGAAGTGGTGAATCCACATAGCAGGTATCTTTAAAGAAGAGAGAACAAAAACGTACCTTTGGTTGGTGCAGAATCCATTTTGCCATCTTCATCCAGTAACAAAAAGGATTGCATGAATAAAACATAAAATGAATAATAAAAGCCGCGCTGTGTGAATGAATCTACAAAAAAAGTCAGATATAATAGATACTGGCCGTGAAGTATCTACTATATCTGACACTTTTGTAGATTCATTCACACAGCGCGGCTTTTATTATTATTTTATACTATATATCTGACCACACAGATTTCAGCTGCTGCTTAACTTGATTGGAGTAGTGGCGCGAGGTTTCACATTATTCATGAATAAAACATAGAACATGCCTTTTTGTGTGTTTTAGGGCATGACAGCAAGACCTCCACCCCAAGCAACCTATACTTTTTTTTTTTTTTATTGCATTGACCAAAACAAAAAATACACGGAAATGTATGAATAATGCACATAAACATGTCTAATAATGCATGAAAATAGGGCAGCTTAGCAATTAAGTCAACTAAATCAGAGAAGTGGACAGAAGAGGCTTTTCTCACTAACAAAGCAATAATGGTCATCTTGTGGTATCTACAGAATGCAGAATGTTTACTATTAAAAATGTTATTTTTAAGAAGTTTTTTTTATTTTCAAAAACACAACAAACAATGACAGTAACAAAGACAAATATTGTGTATTGGACTGTATATAGAAGTTCTTAAAGTGGAAGTAAACCTGTTGCATTCAAGGCATGCCTCCGGTGATAGCGGTCTCAGTTGTCAGTGTGCTTGTGTCAGCTCTCAAATGACATTTCACTGACATGTAATATATCTAACAAAACAGCTTGGCCTGGATGACCTTATCCTTGAAGATCACTCATCAGACATAAAAAGGCTTCAAAATCTGATGAATCATTACATTCAAATTGAGGAATTTATTTTGCCCCTGTAGTTGGTTCTTTACGGAACTCAATGCATCTCAATTCGGATAGGGTGAAGTAGAACCTCAAGATCAATTTATGGTTGTCCATAGTTAGCAGTAGCGTTTCAAATTTAATGTGAACCAAAACAAAAACTTCTCCAGGGCCATTTGTGCTTTTATGGCACACTGAATCGCCATCAGTGGCCAGACTGTCAGGGCCACACCCCACCAGTCCTCTGGACAACACAAGGTGATTACTTCACGTTCAGTAATACTTGGTCAAAAGGGCTAGTAAAAAAGAGAAAAGTAGTCTTCCAGAAATGCAAGGCCAAACCAACATGGGCCTTATATTTTAAAGGATCTGAAATACAGACTGTCTATGCCATCACATTCTTCATTCAATCTCCAGCTTTAAGCTTGAATCTGATTGGCTGCCATGAGACAACACACAGCTCCTACTGTAGACACTATTATGTACCATATGGCATGCGTTCTTACCATTTTCGCTTGCCTTCATAATCAAAGAAACCTGGCTTTGAAGTATTGCATTTTCCCACCTTCACCTGCCAAGAAAGATAAACATTTTTCAGTGTTGTTCTGTTTGCAACTATTCATGCAGAGGGTCAGATCTCAATGCTCCTAACAGCCAATGAAAGAGCAAGCACTGGATGTATGGTGACTAAAAAAAAATGGAACCAGAGTCTCTGTGTCATTCTTAACACCTGCTTGTATCTGGAATAAGACCATGAATAAGGAGGGCAATATGAGCAAATTGTATGTGGGGTGGGCAGGAACTCTGATCTATTGCTTACCTATAGCTGGTATATATTGTGTATTAGGGGGGGAAACAAAATAGACAAAGACGGCACCATAAACTAGAAGACCTAAACTGTGACCTACCAGTGCAAGTCTCATTGCATGCTTATAACTAGCATAGAAAGTATAAGGAGTGTAAGGGCAAGGAGGTCACCCATGAAGCATAAAGATGGCACCATGGGCTCAGTATCGCCTTAGTAGATTGTGGCTGACATACAGGGCATGTTGGATGTAAGAGCTAATGATTGACCTATCATGGACAACGGTGGACCGTATAATAACTATCTGTACCCGGGCTAGAGTACAATGGTATTGATAGCTAGGTGGGGACACATGATAGTTGCTTTTAGATGACATGCATAGTACAATGGCTGCAGAAGCCAAAGGACACAAGATGGATGTACCTCCAAGGACCCAGTGCCTATCTTATTACATGCTTGCAGATAGCACATTAGTTCATTATCTGCTTGAAATGGCAAAGTATGATGGACAGAATGGTTAGTAGCGGAAACCATGATGGATAAAGATGGTATAATGGATTCTGCACCAACCAAAGTTGCTTATAAATGGTATACAAGGCATGACGAGTGTAAGAGGTACCAGTCTCAATACCGTTGTTTACATAGCACAGAGCATGAGATGAGTAGGATCTTGGGGACACATTACGGATGAAGAATGGCCTATGGAGTACCAGACTCCAGAGGTGTACAAGCTAAGAAGAGGCACACAATGGATAAAGGTGGTACCCAGGATCAATACCTGCTTATACCTGGCATAAAGTATGATGGGTTTAGTGGCACGATGAAGAATGGACTCTGGACTTGGTGCCAACCTCAGATGCCCATAGCTAGCATTCAGGGCATGATAGAAATAGGAGCTAGTAGGGACATACAAAGGAAGAAGGTGGTTCCGGGAACTCAGAGTCAGGATCAGTACCTGCTTACACCTGGCATAAAGTATGATAGTGTAGGAGCCAGGAGGTGGCATACAATGGTTAAACGTAGCTCCAGGGAGTCAGGATCAATACCTGGCATAAAACATGACGGGTGTAGGAGCTAGAAGAGGACAAATGATCTCCTTGCACTTGACAGAAAGTATGATGGGTGTAGACGCTAGAAAGAGGCCTACAATGAATGGGGGAAGACACTGCAGATAAGAATCAGTACCTGCTTATGACACATGAAGATGGCACTAGGAGGGGACACATGAAGATGGCACTAGGAGGGGACACATGAAGATCCGCATCAGGCCATTCCAGGGAGGGACAGGTGCTGCATGTAGCGGCCTGTTCTTCCCTATGGGAGGACGCGGCCGTGTGCACAACCGAACTGCACATTCGTGCGGGTCTGGGTGTCCGTGCTCGAACGCAGACAGAATCCATCCTGTCTAGGAGGGGAGACATGACACATCTAGATGGCACTGGAAGGCGGCATGCAACACTTGAAGATAGCACTAGAAGGGAGACATGAAACATGAAGATGGGACCAGGAGGGGGGGGGGCGTGACAGATAAAGATGGCACTAAGAGGAAAGACATAACACATGAAGATGGCACTAGGAGAGGACACATGAAGATGGCACTAGGAGTGGACACATGGCACATGAAGATGGCACTGGGAGGGGACAACATGGCACATGAAGATGGCACCGGGAGGGGACACATGAAGATGGCACCGGGAGGGGACACATGACACATGAAGATGGCACTGGGAGGGGACACATGACGATGGCACTAGGAGGGGACACATGACGATGGCACTAGGAGGGGAGACATGACACATGACGATGGCACTAGGAGGGGAGACATGACGATGGCACTAGGAGGGGAGACATGACGATGGCACTAGGAGGGGAGACATGGCACATGAAGATGGCACTAGGAGGGGGGGACAGGGCACATGAAGATGGCACTGGGAGGGGGGAAATGACACATGGCGAGGGCACTAGGACGGGAGACATGGCACTAGGAAGGGGGACATGGCACATGAAGATGGCACTAGGAGGGGACACATGAAGATGGCACTAGGAGGACACATGGCACATGAAGATGGAACTAGGAGGGGACACATGACACATGAAGATGGAACTAGGAGGGGACACATGAAGATGGCACTAGGAGACATGGCACTAAGAAGGGGGACATGGCACATGAAGATGGCATTAGGAGGGGGGACATGGCACATGAAGATGGCACTAGGAGGGGGGAAATGACACATAGCGAGGGCACTAGGAGGAGGGACATTGCACATGAAGATGGCACTTGACACATGGAGATGGCACATGAGGATGGCACTGGGGACACAAGCTCATTACCTGCTTGTACCTGGCATACAGGTAGAGAAGCTGATCTGTGGTCGCCACATGGGCCAGTTTCTGGGCATGTTTCGCCGCCTGTTCAAAGTGAGATGCGAGCTCCTCCTCAGTCCTATCCTCCAGGAGAAAGTCCCCCAGGTCCCCGCAACCCCCAGAACAGGCCTCCCCGGAGCTGTACTCCTCAAGCACCTCAGGAGACGCCATGTCCGGAGCTCACACAAAGGACACCAGCATAGTCTGCCTGTGGCCCGCACCGATTTATGGAGCCCTCACCCCCTACTATACCGGCACCCCGGGACCTAGTGACATCCGGGATTTTAAACTAGCAGAAGGGTACCGCGCATGCGCAGAGACAGCACAAGGGACGCTGCGCCGATAGCCGATGTACGCATGCGCGCTGTAGAAAACACGGGAACAGGCTGAGCATCGCTCGCCCCTCAGTTAAGTGACATTTAGAATGATGTCATTATTCCCTACCATAAAAACCTACTTACATTCTATGTCCACATCTAGCTGTACCCGCTAATTCAATGGCTGCATTGGCACTGTGTGATTTCTGAGTTGCAGCATTTCCATAGTGTACATTATTATTAGTAATACCTATGAAAAGTCACTAATTCCTGCACCCAGAGGAAGTGACAGGGGAAATCCGGAAGTTCTACATTTTGGGGACACCGCTGAATGGTAAACATGCACTCTAAGAGGGTGTCGTTGAGTTTATATAAAAACTCTCATCTCTGCAAAGACCTCACCCTCCGAACCCCTTATTCTTACTGTGGGGGGCTACTTACTTTCCTTCTACCAACGGTGTGTCTGTTGGGTTTAACCCCAGGGGTCACAGCCGTGGCCAATCAGGCGCATCCACATCACTAATTTGCATCCTTATGGAGCTGGTTTACCTTGTGTACAGACAACCGTTCAACCATTGTCGACGCATAGCCGAGCCCCCATGTGTTTTTCAAACCTGTCTGACCATTTCTGCTGGTGGTCTTATCATTAGCAGGACACCGCTGAGTCCTAAGCCCCTTGTGAATACTGTCAGTCCCATAGACTCCACTCCTTGGCAAATCCAAACCCTACATAGTCAAGGTAGGCTCCAGATTATGAAAGTTTGCATGGGCAACATCATGAACTCTACTGATGGAATTATACCAGAGCAAAATCCACTTCAGGTATTGGCTCAAGACCTTCATTCTAAAACAGTCCGAGCGCCTCAATCACTTACAGTAGAAACCACAAGTGGCATCCCAGCCTTCAGCTCCTTCAAGCTCCTGCGCCTGGCCTACCAACTGGGTCTGCATCCTCCACTCTTTACATGCTGCCTCCACTGCACTAATCTGGTGATCCATCCACCTGCAGAGGGTTCCTAAACCAGTGTAGCATACATTTCGAACCTCAATCTAACAACAGGCCAGGCCAAAGTGGTGTACAGCTTCTCACTATTATCCTGTTATGTCTTGCCTGGACTTCACACCTTCTGGAGCACCGGGACCCCTTCACCTCTGACATCTACAGCTTCCTGTCGACCTTCAAACGCACTTCTGATGAGCCTAATCAAACCTCCTCTGCTGCCACTCTTTATGCCAGGCTCCACTACTGTCGTCTAGTATATGGTACACCTCAGCGCCCTCTCCTCAGAGCTGACCTGAAATTAGGCCTTAGTGGCTATCTTCTGACAGGGCCTGAATGACAATGAAGGATAATCAACAAACTGACCTAGCATCCCAACCTGGACAATCTCATTCCCCTCAGTATACACGTTGACAACCACTTCCGTGGAATGTTCTCAGCAGGAGAGATCCACTCCTCTCCACACGTTGGGATCCTCTCAGGTTACTAATACATATCCTAAGTTCTTCATCGGCATAGTTATGGGACTCCCATGGCTGTGTGCTCACTCACCTTTCATTAACTTAAATGCAGGGGCGGGGGACTCTTGCTTCTCCAGCTGTGTAGCCAAAGTCACACCTCCAAAGTCTGTTCCACTCTTTTTTTTTACCAAAGCCAGCCCTACCCTGCCTTTAGTTTATGTAGATTTAAGGGATGTTTTTTGCAAGTTGAATGGCCAGACCAAGATGACCTGCTTGCCTTTGTCAATCCCCATCATCGTCTAGCGTCAATCCCCATCATGACAACTTGGTTCCATTAGTACTTTGCGCTAAACGATGATCTTAATGCCATTTGCATAGGCCCTTCCTTTGTGGTTTCAGGGAGGCATCCTTGAAATTCTCTCCCTTTTCCAACCACTTCGGATTTAATGGCTACCACTCTCTGCACTCCTTTTGATCTCAAGTCTTTGATTCACCTATCTGGGCCACTCAACATCAAAAATGATTGGCAAATCTTTGCCACCAGGAAGCTTCTGTCCTTAATCCTAGTAAAATCGTTTGGCTCCCTATGAAAAATTTCCACCTTAGGGTTAAAGTTCCCTCCATCAAGCTCAGGCCTCACTTTATCAGTCCTTATAAAGTCTTTGCCAGAATCAATACAGGTACCTACAGATTGTCACTCCCTCCCCACCCATTCTTTTCATGTTGTGTTCCAGCTGCAGCGAGTAGGTGCATCCATGTTACTCAGCTGCATCTGTGAAAGGCCGGTGCACCCCATTAACAGATGCCTGTGCAATGTTTGTCGCTGTATTGTTGAGCCCCCAGGTGTTTCACAAGCCTGCCCTTAAGCGCTTCTTCGGTTTCTGAGCCTCTCTGCGCTTCTGCCGCTACCAGTTTCTTGCAGTCCGCAGCACTCCAGGTACACATCATCTGATGCTCCGGGTCACTGGCACTGTTCCTGGTACTCCCTACATGTTACTCCTGGCCACAGGAACTTCTTATAGTATGTCCCACCTTCACCCCTTGATCACAGATATTGTTCCTTTTGTGTGCCATCTGATGCTCTTGCCCATTGGCTCTTTCCCTGGTGCGCTCTCTTTGTCACTCCTGACCACAAACACTGCTCCTGGTATGCTCCACCTGTTGCCTCTTGCTACATGCACCGTTCCTGGTACACTCCATTAGCCAAACTATGAACACTTGCAACCAGGCACCGCCAATCCTGGTATACTCCATTGCTAACTCTGCATCTCCAACTCTATGCAGCTGGGCACAGCTATTCCTAGTACATTCTATTTGCCAAACTCTGCTCCTTCAAGTCTTTGCAACTGGGCACAACTACTTCTGGCACACTCTGTATGCCAAACACGGCTCCTCTGAGCACTTGCAGCTGGTACAGCTACTCATGGTATGCTCCAATTGCCAAACTCTGCTCCTTTGAGCCCTTGCAGCCAGACACATCGGAGCATCTCTCTTCAGTGCTCCCACTGGCTTCCTCTGTCTTCTTACTAGTCACCTGGCCATTTCTGCTGGTGGCTATTACATCTTCCTGCTACATATACCAGTATCTGGGTAAGCAACCTGAGGGTGGGACGCAGCTGAGTCCAAACCCCTGTGAGGGAGTCCCTTGTAAACATTGCCTGTTCCTTAGACTCCATTTCTTAGCAAACCCAAACATAGTCAGGGAAGGGTTTGGTTCACTCTGTTTCATTTGATTCATGTTCATTTACTTTAGTAAATCAGGCCCAGTGAGTCATACTTTACTTGGAACCTAGTGAACCAAAATACGTTATTCTCTTACATCACCACCAGAGGGCGATCTTGTATTTCCAGAACCACAGTGCTGACATTCATTGCTAGATGTCCTTAGCTCCCATCCACTCTGCTACATTTCAGTTTTTTTTGCACTATTGTTCCTTTGTCACCGCATTCTATACCTGTCACAGGGTGGGAGTCAGAGAAGCCGTGCTATAGAAAAACATCAGGATTAGCACTGAAAGCCACATACAAATGTTACTAGGGTTGTAGAGATTTTAGCTGTAATTAGAAACTACAGGCATTTTTATTTTAGAGCTCAATTAAGGGGCTCCTTTACCTGCAGATCTTCCATTACATGGAGCCAGACTGAGGAGGAAATTGGACTTCAGGCTGTGAGCAGTATATCTCCTGACTGGTGAAACATAATTGACTCACAGAGATTGTAAAGTGAAGTTGGACAGGTCTAGTGTCAAAGCCTTTGCCCTGACATGATGGTTTAAAATGGAAAGAAAATGCAACATCATTTTTGACAATTGATAATACAATTGATAATAAAATCTTATATTCTGCAGTAAGCTCGTATATCAAAATGTCTGAAACAAGGTGCCTTGCCTCAGCCAGTAAGTTTCCAGTCTGCAGTGGAAAATGTCAGAACAAGAATAAATCTTTGAATCTGAGTGGTCTGCATTTATAGGGTCATACTTCCCTACTTTCTGGAATCAGTTCTATTTAGGGTTAGTTCACACCATATGCAGTGCGTTCCAGTCCGATTCTGGCCGGAACGCACATCATCACATTGCGGTCAGCTCACTTTTTTGCCGGGCATGGCGGGCCATTGAAGTGAATGACACTGTAGTCACACCCTCCGGCCGCAATGCGATCGCCCGCACGGGATCGCAAGGCACATTGTGCCTGCGGTCATATCAAAATATCGCACCGGACAATGTGTCTTGCGATCCCGTGCGGGCGATCACATTGCGGCCGGAGGGCGTGGCTACGGTGCCATTCACTTCAATGGCCGACATGCCCCTTCTGCCCCACTAAAAAGTGAGCTGGCCGCAATGCGAGGCAGTGCGTTCTGGCCAGAATCGGGCTGGAACGCACTGCAACTGGTGTGAACGAGCCCTAAGTCCTCCTCACCATAACCAGTGTGATTATACTTTCTCGTTGACACACACACACAGTTGTAATCAAATCTATTCAACCTCCATTGCAAATGAGATTTATTGCCAACATTTACAAACTTTCAGTTGTTTGCAAAGAATAAATCAAACAAAAATAATTGAAATAGGTCAATACAATGAATGTTTCTTGTGGTTTCCCCAAATGCAAGTGAAAATGCAACTTTTAATGACTTCTGCAGTCTCAAAAATATTCAACCGCTGAATAGGATCCCTCACAAGAGCACAGATCTGCAAAACAGGCGTTGTCTCTAGTAGTGATGAGCCGAACACCCCCGTGTTCGGTTCTAACTCGAATCAGGTGCAAGACTGTAGCCAATTGCCTTTTCGGACGACGCAGTGCATTGTGGGATGTGCCGTGGTCGAACAGACCGCGGACATCCCATAATGTTCGGCGTTCGGCGAACGCTAGAACATGCAATGTTCGAAACGTTCAGCCCATCCTTAGTCTCTAGCACAGCTGATAATCAAGCTCTTCATTAGTTGCCTGTGCTTGAGCTAGAACACATGAAATACCTGACCTGGCTAGAGGTTTGTTGAGTGTCACCAATAACTGCATGTTAGAAATATGGCAAAGTCAAAAGAATGGTAAAAAAAGTTAAAAGAAGAGATCAATA